ATCATTATGTGCGCCAGTGTGTTGAAGACAAAGTGGTGCAGCTAATTTTTGTGAAATCTCACGATCAGATGGCAGACATCCTTACCAAGGCTCTCAAGTTTGATGATTTCAAGAAATTAAGAAGCTGTATTGGAGTTGGAAAAAGTCATGTTTAAAGTGGGGTGTTGAAAAGATAAACATGCCTTGAATATCTAGTTCATGTATCTGGTATGAATAGTATTTAATAATGTATCTAGGAGAATGGGATTCATGTATACCAGTTAATTAGAAAGAACCAGTGTTTGTGATTTATCTATAAATAACTTTGTAAGTTCTTATTTTCAATGAAGTAAATACAAAGAAATATAGTCTCCAAACTCTCCTCTCTTCCACTGCACAATCCTCATAAGTCCAGTTATATCCAACAGAACTCCGACCACTCTTGGTACTTGTTTGAACACCCATTCAAATTTGGGCTTTTGGGAAAGATAGAGTCATACACCAACCAAGACCACCGCGACAGCCCCGTGGGGAAAGTGGTGTGTCACTGCCCGGAGATCTTGTTAGAAGTGGCCCGATTAAATAGCAAGCACTTGCGATTCCTTCATGGGAGAAGGCACTTGAACGCCATATAAATTTCTCCAGAGACGTGGCGTTGTTTAAGAAAAAATAGCAAGAAGCATTTGTTGGTAAACATGGTAGTTCTCTATTTCGAGAAATTGGTAGTTTTCAGCGGTTATCAATGAATAAGAGAAATTTCTGACAGATCTTGGATTGGAGAGGAAGGTGGAAATATGAAAAACACTTTGGGACGGAGGGAGGAACACCCGCCATTAGGGTTAGTTACTTGTAGTTTCCAGGTTGCGGAAAACAACGGAAGCAAAAGACTGAAATGTAGCAACGAGGGACTGGATCAAGTGGTAAGCGATTTGTTCTAGCTTAAGCAAGGTTTCGAGTTTAAGACCTTGTGTATGCAGTAGCTTTCGTTGGGAGACTCACCCACCATTTTCAGGTGTGCGATGCAGGTCAGACCGGATTAGTCGAGACGAAACCCCGGATATCAGAAGAGAAACCAAAAAAAAGAAAAAAAGACTGAAATCTTAGTAAAACGTCTTCATTGACTGCCGTTTTGAGCCAGCTAAGCCCATTAAG